TAAACCCTAAACCCTATAACTATAAACCCTAAGCCCTAAACAACCTCATGTTTGGCACAGGAGGGGAGCTTCGAAGTTCCCGTGGCCTTGGAGCAGGGACCAGGCTACCAAGAGAAGGCCGGCTAGGGTTTAGGGGTTTAAGGTTTAGGGTATAGGGGTTTAGGGGTTAGGGGTTTTAGGGACTAGGGGTGCAGGGTTTAGGGGGTTTAGGGTTTAGGGTCTAGGGGTGTAGGGTTCAGGGGGTTTAGGGGTTTCGGGTTTTGGGTTCTAGGGATTTAGGGTTTAAGGTTTAGGGTCTAGGGGTTTAGGGTTTCCAGGGTTTAGTGTTTAGGGTTTAGAGTTTAAGGTTTAGGGGTTTAGGGGTTTAGGGTTTCAGGGTTTATGGTTTCAGGGTTTAGCGTTTAAGGTTTATAGGGTCTGGGGGTTTCGGGTTTAGGGTTCAGGGGGTTCATCGCAGTGTCAGAGCCGGAGTATAGTGACGACGCGCTGACGACTGGCACTGGCACTGGCACTGGCAGTAAAAGTGGCAGCAGCAGCAGCAGGCGCAGAAGCAGCAGCTGTAATGGTAACAGTGACAGTAATTGTAATACTAAGAATGGCAATGGTAATTTTCGCATGTAACAACAAAAAAAGCATGGCCTCGCAAAGCACAGACCCAGAGAAGGAAGGGCTCAGACTCCTCCTGCTTGCTTAAGCGTCGCAGGTCAGTGCTCGAGGACGGAGGAGTGGTCCCGGCTAGGAGGTCGATGCAGCCAGGCCTGGCGCCCTTCGACCTGGATAGATCGGCTGACATCGATTTTCTGGGCAATACTTGGGAGTTTTATGGTAGCCACGTCTGATGATTATTGGATTTCATTCCATAGCCATGGGCATAGGCATAGCCATAGGCATCGCAGACATCTTGTCACCTCATCCTCTGACCGTGAAGGTGGCGGCGGTGGCGGTGGTGCCATCGGTAGTGCTGGTCCCAATGCTTCTCAGGCGCTATGGCAGTGGGTGAACTGAAAGATGCCTTGCACACATGTTTGCTTTTTCTTGGCCATTTGCGGTAGTAGCAGTTGTTGCATCCAATCCTCATAGATCTCATAGCTGCTTTGAGCTTTGTCATGCCATTGTTCGCTTGCTGCGTCCCAGACGCACCCGGTGCAGATGAATTTGTCACAGACATGGATCCAGGCACTGCCGAAGACACTGTCTCAGACGTTCTCGAGTTCATGAGCGAGCGTATCGAGAGCTTGACGAAAGTCTTCAACGAGGAGAAGAAAGGTCTTGTCAAGATGTACCAACAATACCAAGCCATGTGCGAGGCGGGAAAAAAGGCCGACAAGACCAAATCAGACAAAGACAAGAAAGACTACGAGCGCAAAAGAGAGAAGTTGGTTGACATGATATGCAAGACCTCGCTTGGCTGGTTTGTGAAGTATGTGGCAAAAGACATGGTCCCCGAGAAATGGTGGGATGCGGGCTTTGGTGATATTGTAGGAGATAAGAAAGTCCAGGGAGCACTGGTAGACTGGCTAGGTGATGTCAAGAGCAAGAAAAAACAGGAGAAGATGAAGGACAGTTTGAAGAAGGTTGCACCAGAAGCCACAAAGAAGCTCTTGAACACCCTCGCTGAGTGTGCCCGCAAAGGATTCTTGAAAGTTCTTCGTCACAGACTTCATCAGCATCACCCATATGAAGAAACGGACAAGGATATCAACGACGATTTGCCAGAGGCCGATGAGATTGAGACTGAGATCGAGGACAGGAAGGACAAGGACCATCACATCCATCATACTGAGGTCCTCGAGGTCGACTGCCACGATCCCTATCCGTTGGACATGTTGGCAAAGATGGGCGCCCATGGCATGGGGTCGGACGGTTGGTCGGACAACGCCCACATGCCCCCACTGCATGATGATCAAGCACATAATTGCGATGATCAAGCAGATGGATACGATCAAGTTGAGGATCTTCAACCAGAGTGTGAGTGAAAGGCCCTGAAACGAATGTGGATGCGAAAAACTAAGAGCCGTACGGGCAGTACATGGCTCAGAGATCGTGCTCAAGCCTGCCAAAAATGTGATGGTCTGGATCTAAGATATGATATATATATATGATGGATATTAAAGTCGTAATATAGACAACAAGTTAACGTTATGAATGACATCAGAAACAACTCCACAGCCTGCGCGGGTAGCATGAGATCGAGCATTTTTTCAGAGGAGTTCTTCGTCCTGGCCGGAGGCCGCAACATGTCGCCTCAAGGTGAGCGCCTTCAGCCCCAATAGGTGCGAAGGACAGCATGAGAAAAAAGGACCACTGCATTGCTCTGCGCCTGAACCACATTCCATGACGAGTGGTTTGCACCAGGATTGGAAAGTGTCTGCTGACTCACGCACTGACTTCGGCCTTTCTCTGTATGAACACGTTATGTTGGCATTGGCATGCATTGGTTATAATATTTCACATGATTGCACATGATTCACATGACTTCACATGATTTCACCTATTTTCTGTTTGTCTTTGACCAGCTCGGCCAGGTGTGGGCTGAGTACGCAGGCAGCTTGCTGGTCAACGGAGGAGCTGGCGATGCCTCCCTGGCCTGTCGCGGCTTCATGGGAGAGCGCGGATGCAGAGGCGAAGCTTGGAGGCATCCCAGTGATTATGATGATGATGATGGTGGTGGTGGTGGTGATGATCACCATCATGATCATGGTCATAATCACATATAGTCACCATCACAAGTAACGATGCAAATCATCTTCATTATCAGCATAGGCATGCTCATCATAATCACAAAGCAAAATCACCATCACGCGAAGAGCAATGATACCTACTGGAACTCAGCTTCATTGTCTACTGTCTTTGGTATATCATGATGAGAAAACAACGGTATCAGGCCGCGACACTGGGATCAGAATCTCCTCCCACCCAGGAATTGTTGCAGCTGGGCGTCTGTGGTTATTTTAACATTGTACAGATTATGTCCGGCTGTTGCATTTGTTTTCAGTAGATATTTCAAGCTGTTGGTGTGACTTCTTGGAATCTTGAGTTGCCCATCTCTGCTAGCCTTGTGCTGGTTCTCCAAAGTGAACTTCAAGAACTTACAGATGTACCTACCTCAAGTTCAGGCGAGCAGGAAGTGCTAGAGAGTCGAGGTAGGCCGTTGCGGTAGGCTGTGCAGGTAGGATGCTGTGTGACACGAGTGCCTGGTGCTGCCCCTGCCCCTCCCCCTGTAACCTTTGTAGAGTGCACTGAGTGCCCCTCCCTCCCGCGAAGCCCGGGCCCTTCGCTTGCGGCCAGGTTCCAGGCAAGCGAGGTGCAGAAGTTGTTGCAAGATGGGAGCTGCTCGCAATGCGCTTGCAATGAATGGAGGTCGACAGGCAGGGTTGAGGGATTCGGGGTCGGGGTTTAGAGGGGCCCTGCTTTGTTCTCCCGCTCGTGTAAATCGGGTAAATCGGGTGAATCCGGTAAATCGGGTAAATGGGCTGTACTGGGAGCTGAACGGAGGTGGTAAATCCGGTAAATCGGGTACATCCGGTAAACTGGGTAAACGCCTCAAAGCGCAGCGAGGAGAGGGCCATTTACCCCATCTACCCCATATACCCCATTTACCCCATTTACCCGATTTACCCACCTTCCTGTGCCACTCGTTGAGCAGGACGTCGTAAAGTAACAAGGGGCATCAGGTTTGCTTTAATATATAAGATGCCACGCAGGAGACCCCAGCACACAAGTTTCAATGTATCCAGCCCCAATCTCAGTGCTGTTGACAATCCACTACCGCCTCTCCAAACATGCTCTTGGATTGGAGCGAAGGTGCCGGCGGCTGGCGAAGCGCGGGCCTTTCATAGCCGAGGTCCATCCGCACAGCATCGTCGGGACCTCAGCGCGTCGTGCCCGCAGCCCTGAAGGTGCAGTGGGTTTGCAGGAAAATATCGGCGCTATCTGTCAGGAGCCCCGCTGCCCCCATGGGTCTTTCTGCGGGCGATGCGCTCGGCTAGCATCCGAACAGGTGGAGACCGAGCTCTTCTCGGGATCTTTAAATGCCCATTGTTGTCACTGGCAGGTGTTGGGGCTCTGTGTTTGCAAAGCACTCGTGAAGAGCTTCCGCGCGCAGCTCAGCGACGACCTTGCTCCCGGGCATTCTAGATCTCGTGTGCACCATTGTTTCCACATCGGTCCGCTTTGAAGGTGCGAGCCATGTCTGAGCGTTCCCATGCCATGGCTGCCGCTCTGCGGAGCCATGTGGGGCTAACGAATGCCGACTTTTTTTCGATGACAGACCACTTGTTGTTGTATGCGCTGCCGATCACGCAGCAGCATTTGTACAGACGTGCTTGTAGAGCCTTCGACCCGATGCGATGAAACGAGACAGATGGAGTTCTTGCACTGAGCTATGGTTCCCACAGCAAAGGACTCACTTAGGCTCGTTGGTGTCGCTCCAACGTGTCATTGCATCGTTTGACCCCCGAGCCCAGGCAGCAGACATGATAACCTCCATCTGAAGGGACTACAAGTAGTGTTTGACACTATGTGACTGCTTTTGTGATGGGGCCCGTCTCAGCTCCCAAGAATGAGCATGCAAAGGTTGGACACCCTCAATCGGTGAACTCCATCTCGTGCCCCCAAAGAACCCTCTTGTCAAGTCTCTCAACGCCACCCGCCTGGACGCCATGGAAGCCCAAAGTTTCGCAGTAAGTGTAGGCTATATTGTTATTGTAGCCTATAGCATAGCAAAGTACAGTATAGTATGGTATAGTATGATATAGTGTAGTGTAGCGTAGTATAGTACAGTGCAGTGTAGCGTAGTACAGAGTAGGTGTCAGCCGATATGCCTTGAATCGCTGGCGCCCCGCCCCTTAGGGGGCAATAGGAGGGACCCCTAGAAGGGACCCCTAATCCTAATACCCTGATAGAACCCTTATATGCCCTTTATATAGTCTCATAAAGCCCCTATATACTCTGCAGGGTCCCTTCAAGGGTCTCTCCTTTAGTCCCTTGAGCCCCGGTGCATGGATCCCGCGCTGGGCAGCCGCCAGCTCGCCCGCGAAGTCGGTGCTCTTGGGCTGCGGAGCCGCAGTCATACGGGTAGTTCCCAAATCACAGGGTTCTTTTTATAAGGGTGCCATACTATATTGGGGTTCAACATTTAGGTATCTGAGCGCGGTGGGTTATATCAGAGGGGTAGTTCTCGAAACTATAGAGTCCCTTTTAGGGCTCCTTAGAAGGATCTATAAGGGTTTCTATAGATTTTTCTATAAGGGTTCTGTATGGGTGGTTCTTTAAATCAGCGTCCCTTTCAGGGTTCTTTTTATGAGGGTGTCGTACTGTATTGAGGACCTAAAAAGGGACCCCAATTTAGAGAACTACCCATATGTAGGGTGCAGGGTTGAGGGTTTGGGGTTTAGGTTTCCGGGCTACTTCAGAGGTTTCAGTTGTTAGTTTACGGGGTTTGGGTATCTGCGCGCGGTGGGTTGTATCAAGCTGTGTCCAGCAACAGAGTGAATCCCTCGAGGCCGGTGCCGGTTTGCTTTTTTTGCAGAAAGCAGGGGTCTTTCCTTGTAATCATGTCGTTGTGGGCATTCTCTCCGTACCACCCCCGCATTGATGATGCGTGGGAGCAGCACCAGCTCCAGTGGTAGCAGCAGCAGTACCAGCTGCAGCAGTGGCAGTGGTCAAGCATATTGGAACATATTGGAATTGTTTTTTCTAAGCAGCAGAGAGATATTATGACGAAATATTTGTGCTGTCCCAACTTGTCTTCTGAGGCATCGCTCCCTATGGAGGCACGACCTTGCGCCGGTGTACTCATACTAATGCGGAGAATGAGACTGTTGGAGGGCTGACATAACAGCAATCGAGCTGTCCAAGTTAGTGTCGCGGAGACACTGCGTGATATAGGGGCCTAAATAACTATCAATACCATTTTGAGGTTCTTTGTAGCCATCCCTTGCTATGAGAAGTTGGGGGCAAGTGTTCAGGGATTTATTGTATAATATGGTGTAATATCGTCGTATAGTATGGCATAATATAGTATAATATCGTAAAATATGGTACACTATGGTATCACATAGTATAATTCATGCAGACTTGAGCCAGGAAGAAATGTGCTCTATGGGGATCCTCGAAAGCATGCCGGCCTCAAACTTGAGATCAAGCCTAGCGCCATCCATAGCGGATACCTTTGGAGCTTAAGTTGTTCGGGTACCCCAAACTCGAAACCTCAAACAAGCCCTAAGCCCGAAACCCTAAACGTCCTAAACCTAAAAACCTTTGGGACTATGCCAAGCACCACCGAACTGAGACGCTGGCCGCAGGGACGCCGTCGTTCGCGTAGAGGACACCTCGCCGAGCCTGGTCCAACAACGCGGTTCTAGTTCTTTCTGTTCTTTCTGTCATGCCATGCTTCAGAAAACTTCATGGGGTTCACCATCATTACTATTGCGATGCAGCCTGTCTGGATTGCGCATTCGGGTCGCTGTGGAATTTCTTTTCGTTCATGTATCCAGATGGACGGGGAGCCTGCATGGCAGCATATGGGGGCATCGATCCCCTGTCGAAGACTCGGATTTACTGAAATTCAGTGTCTATTTCGCAGGTCCCTATATTCTGAAATCCCTAAGCCCTAAACGTATAAACCCTGTATTCTGAAATCCCTAAGCCCTAAACCCTATATTCTGAAATCCCTAAGCCCTAAGCCCTATGTTCTGAAATCCCTAAGCCCTAAACCCTATATTGTAGCCTATATTCTGAAATTCTGAAACTCCCATACCTTCACGAAAGCAGGACATGCCACACTGGGCCTGACTTGGTACCTCTGGCAAATGCCCAAGCCCTACAAACTTCACTTAGACCCTTAAAAAACTTCATAAAGCCCCACTACTAAATACTAAAGCTCCTCACACCCTAAACCCTAAAGCCCTAAACCCTAAAGCCTAAACCCTAAACCTACAGCACCAAAGCCGACACCTCAGACCCTGAATCAGCA